TACATATACATATACATATATATATATACATACATACATATACATATACATACATATACATACATACATATACATATACATACATATACATACATACATATACATATACATACATATACATACATACATATACATATACATACATATACATACATACATATACATATACATACATATACATACATACATATACATATACATACATATACATACATACATATACATATACATACATATATATATATATATATATATATATATATACATACATACATATACATGTGTTTTTTTTTTTTTTAAGTGAGTGACCTCAAAGAGCCTCCACCTGAGTTTAGAGGGGAAGTAGACATTGAGGATTTCTGGAAATCAGTAAATCTTGAGATGATCGCTTGGGAATTTGTTCCCAGTAAGTGTTTTCTCTCTTAAACCACAAGAAAATTGCACTTTGTCTCAATGTTTATATAATGTAGACTTCTAAATATGTGTATTTGTCTCAGGCCGGACCAAAAATCCATTTGCTGTGCAATCTAGTTATTCTAGGTAGGCTCCATGGATAGGACCCAGAACTAGGATGGATCACACTGTACTGAATACAGAATTTGCTAAAGTTGCAACAGCAAAGGTCACATCAGCTGAAGTTCAAATGATGAATGTGTCAGAAGACCGTCTCGTGGATGAGCTGATGAAGCAGAAGGTATAAATCTTGATAAAATTCAACTACAGTTGGATCATGTGCCCTTTATTGAAAGGATTGTTCTGACTATGTGCTTACATTATATAACAGGTTGGTGTTGTCAGAAAACTCTGCAAGGCCTGTAATATTGACTCGAAAGGTTCTCGTATGGATCTCATTTCAAGATTACGAGCAGAGATGCAGAACAGACAGTCCTATGACAAAATGTTCCAGAAAATCTGGGGAGCATCAGGTGGGAGTAATATTGTACTTTAATGAGATAACAATTGAAAAATTGCAATTTTACATTTCCTTATTCAATTTTGTATTATGGCTTTTCCAGGTGGTTGGTCAGTCATCATATGCCCACATGGTGTGGTGTATAGCATAAAGTTTAATTTGAGAGCCGAGAGTCCCAGGGATTTTGCGGACCTGCTGTTGTCGTGGAAGCACATTCCTAATGTTAGTGTATATGATTTTGCACGAGGCTTGGCCACGCATGGCAATTTACGTGTACCTACAGCTATCCCATTTCATCCACACGAAGGGAGACTAGCTGAGCCAACACCAGAAAACATCAGTTCAGCAAAGCAGGGCAAACTGAAGGTGTCTCTTCCTTGGTTGTTTGAGAAAACAGACAATTTGAATTCCAAAGGCAATCCCATAACTGGATCATCTGAGCACTATGTGTTGTATGACAAACTTCATGAATCAAACACGAGAGACCCCCAGGATGTACTCAGAAGAATTAGCCTGGTCCCAGAGCTACGGTTTGGACACCAGGACACTACCAGTTGTGTGTACGTATTCATACTGCATTTGAGTGATTAGAAAAAATTTGTTTTCTTGTAATGACCATAGTGCTTTGATTTCAGTGTATGCAGAACTGCAGTAAGTACCAAATAGATGTAAATGTACACATTTTAAAATAACTTTTCATGTGTTTTCAGTCACGTGTTGTTTTTGTTGAATGTGAAAATATAAAATGGCAGATTGTGTTGTTTATGTAATCTAAGAAAAATCAATACTGTACATTTTCTTTAGATTTTGAAGCCAGTCCAGAAAGAAATTCTCTTTTTAGACTCTAAATGCTCTGAGACACCATTTGGATTTGGTGCCCAGAGATACAAAGCTCTGTTGAGGTCTTTAGATGATTTTATTTTAAAATGCACGTTGCGCTTTTGGTCTCTACGTGGCAAGATCATCTTATTTCAGAGATTGTTCAGTTGTTGCTGTTTTCTTAATTGCATGAAGGTTTGTACTTGTTCTAATATACTTCAGGTTTCTCAGACCTTTTGCATCAGAGATGACCTCTTAGATTTAAACACCTTTGTGTCATTGTGAAGCCTATGGTCTGAGAAATCTGTATGAACTGAGAATGCTTGTATGCTCAGTTGTTTGATTATGGTCACAGTTGTGTGACTTATTTCATGAATTTCATATTGCATGCATTGTTCAGATGTTGTTTTCTTATATGCATGACATAATACAAGTTTCTACTTGGGTTGTAGAACAGGTTTCTCAGAGGTTACAAAAAGTACTAGGTGCAGGTAAATTCCATGAAGTCTCAAAAGTGTTACTTTTTGAAATATTGTATTCACTCATCTTTCTTTTGTTGTATTAAAGGGGTTTCCAGGTCAAACGTATGACAATGACTGTGGTGTCTTTATGTTAATTGTAAGATTATTTTTTGTTGTTTGTTGGTTGGTTGTTTATCCTCTGGCTGTTTTGAATCCTTTTTTTTTTTCTCAATGATTTTTCCTGTATAGTCTGCATTTTACATGGTGATGGATTCCTCATTTGACTACACAATTGTAAGTACTGGTTTACAATAATGTTGAGTCAGTGTGATTAAAATATTCAAAGGGGTATTAACTTGCATGTTATGAGCAGCTGGACATGCCAGAACTGCAGAAATGGTGGTGTGTGATGTTAATGGAGAACTATGTGCTGAATAGGTACAGTGTTTCTTATAATTATAAAATATATATTTTATGGATATAAACAAATTATGGAACAATGTGTAATATTATCACTTTTTACAGCCACGGAAAGGTTTTTGCACACTTCACTGAGGAGTCTAAAGCCGTACTAAGGGGTGATTGGCAGCCTGTTTTGAGACTAAGGAAAAGGAAGCTAGAGGACACCTTTCAGGTAAAAGCATCTACTTGAGAAAATGACACTTAAAATGTCATGGTACCTTGTGAATGTTTGCTTATACCGTGGTGTTTGACTAACAGGAGGAGCCACAGCATTGGGTTCCGGAATCATCATCACAGGTATATATACTGTGTAGTGGGTCAGACAAAATGCAAATTCTCTATAAATATGAAGTTTTAAAATTAACACACTCAAATGTAATATTCATCTGCTTGTATTTTATAAATTGTTAGGCAGATGATGCAAGTATAAATGTACTGCATCCTGTGTTGGAGGATGTACTGCTTGAATCATCACAAGAGGTAAAGTTGTGTTACAGGATTAGCAACAAAGTCAAAGTAATTGTTTCTTTTTGTTTTTTGAACAAATACTGAATTAATGCTTTTTGTTTTTTACAATTGTATCTCCCTTGTTCTTTGTGTTATTTTACAGAATCGATTGATGGGAGATTTAAAGGAAGCCAGCAAGTGGTGTTTGGAACAGTCAAGTGTGCTGCTTGATTCTGTTCAGCTGCCCAAAGTACTCTGTATGGAGGATGAATATGTTGATGAGGCCTTGGACAAATTACAGAAGGCTGAATTTTCAGAGGACAGAATTGTTGCTCTTGAACCTTTCAGCTTTTTCTTTACTGAGATGAAGGACATGAACTTGTTCCTTGAACATGTAATTGATGTCATGAATCTGAAAGTATTCTGTCGAACTGAAACAGAAGAAAATACATAATGTGCTTCCTTGCATTCATTCTTCTGTTTTTATTCGTTATGGAACTGTTCTTAACTTTTATTTATTTTTATATTGTACTATTTTCTAAAATTAATGTCAGTTTATCCAATAATAAAAATTGTTAATAGTTGTAAATAGTCTGTCTCCTTGTAACAGGCTTAAAATAAAAAAAATAAAATTAAAATTTGCATCAGCCTGATTTTTTTTTTTTTTTATCCATAATTTTGTAAGATAATTTTGTGTTGCTATTTAGACCTGATAGTTCTTTTGTAGCTTTGATAATGATATGTTTTGCTGGTATAAATGTTAAATAGTCGTAGCCTACTTTAATGCTAAAGTACAATATTATAATCCTACGATAAACAAGCAGCAAAAAATAACTTTTGGGGGGAAAAGTTTCTGTCTCATTATAGTTCTAAAGTACTTTAAATCATTTAACAGCATCATACAGCGTCTTTATTGGCAACGCGAACGAACGACTGGAAACTGTTATTTCCGTTTTTTTTTTTTTTGTCGATTGCATGTGACGTGGCAGGTACCGAAGACTGCAGGTGTCCATTGCAAGTGACGTCACTTGCAGAGGAAGCGCAGATGACTCAGAGTGCAAGTCTGAGAGTACAAGTCTGAGTGCAAGTGCAGGTCTGCAGCCAGACCCTTCTCGAATGATGTGCTTGAAGCAACATAAGTCACAGAGCGCTGCACTCCACACAGTAACTTTACAAGAGAAGAGAGATGAGAGAGCAATGAACTCCAGCAAGATATCATTTTATGCGACTCCCCAGACCTACACATCAAGTATTATAATGGGAATATATCATCTTGGAGAGAGAAACCAAACTGGTGCTCTTCTGTTTCTTTTGGTGGACGACTCCCCCTTGTGCCGTATAAAAGCACAATAATCAAAACAAAACAAAACAATCTGATTGGATCAAATAATCGCGATTAGACGGTTATTTAATTATTGCGACAGGGATTAGCATCTCACTTCAATGCACTGTATCTTGATGTAACTATAGAACATTATATAAGATACTTAACGTACTTACCTTTTGCAGTTTGAAGTAAAATAATCCATGTAAAAGCCATTACTAGTGAACCGATGAAGCAGACTGCTGCAGAAGCCGATCGGCGGCACACACTGCAACAGTGTATTTCTCCCCACAAGGATAGGCCCCCATGAGGAAACAAGCTTATAAATCATAAAGAATTAAGTTTTTTTGAAAATCTAAAATTGCGTAAAGTTTCCTGTGACGGGTAGGTTTAGGTGTAGGGTTGGTGTATAGGGTAATAGAAAATAGTTTGTACAGTATAAAATCCATTACGCCTATGGAATGTCCCCATAAAACATGGAAACACAACGTGTGTGTGTGTACGTGTTTGGCTACTGCACTAGAGAGGACTACGACTGCAACGCATCGTAATTTCCCAGGTGAAAAAGACATAGTATTAAATGTATTAAAAATATACTTGAAATTCAAGTAGTATGTTTATAATACATTTGTATTCCCAACATGCTTATTTGAAGTGCAATAAAAGTATATTGAATTGCATTTTAATATATTTCTAAAACGTATACTAGAAGTACTTTTGTTTTATAATTTAAATATAGTAAGTATGTCTGAAAAAGCACAATTTAGATATATTTATTTTTCACCTGGGTTGGACTACTGTGGTACTGCTTTTTGATGTTTCTGCAATAAATTCCTGTGATTACACATGACTGTATGTTGCGTTTCTCTTATTGACTGTATACTTTATACACTCACTCTTTATTGGTTGATTTTTTCTTTATAAAAAAAATTGTTTTTTAATACAATACATTTTTTTATTGCACGTTACACGAGTTGTGGATTTTAAGGCTGATTTTCTATTCTATATATATTCTATTTCTATTCTATATAAAATTACAGAGTTTGAATGTAAAAATACACCTAAATATAAAACGAATCAGATTTACTTTAAAATTACAAAAAATAACATTACATTGTCAGTATGGACATAAACCTTTAATCTAATGAGCTACATTATTTAATTACAGATTATTTTTGCAATTTTACATAAATTTGTACATAATTTAAGAAAACAGAAAAAATACTGTATAAATAATACAGTAATTTGTTTGTATAAAAATGAGAATTACTGTAATTTGTCATTAATGGAATAATATTTAAAATAACAGTGAAGTTGTTAATTTACAGATATTGTTTGTCATTTTACATTAATTTGTATGTAATTTATGAAAACAGGAAAAATACTGTATAAATAATACAGTTATTTTCCTGTATAAAAAAAATGAGAATTACTGTAATTTGTCATTAATAATATAATCCGTAAAATAACAGTCAAGTTGTTAATTTACAGATATTGTTAGTAATTTGACATAGTTTTAAACATAATTTAAAATTACAGAAAAATACTGTAAAAAATTTAGTTATTTTCCGTAAAATTAGGATTTTTTTTTTACAGTGTACTTACAGAAGAAGAACAGAAGAATCAGTTACAAATCCACATGACAGTATATCTTGCATCTGTATTTTCTACAATTCATCATAAGTGGAGGATTTATTTTAAAAACAACAATGAAGAACAAGTTAAAAATAAACCTGTCTTAAATTCTTAAATCTTAAGTAATTCTTACTTTCCCTATTCTTGCAATACTCAAGTGTTCATGTCCCTGAGTAATATCTGCATCCACCGAAGTCTGAAGAGAACACAATATGCTAGTAGACAGCAATCCATATGAGAGAGAGGTCTGGTGTGGAGGGTGGATCTGGAACTGACTTCTGTACAGTTTGTCACATCTCTTGATTATCTGTCTTCACGAACTGCCCTGAAATACAATGAAAACATTAACAATGATTGTTATAAATGTAACGTGAGGCTCTTACATTCACAATGCTCATTTTGGCCTCTACAGCTCATTTTGGAAATATAGTTAATATCAGTAATATGCAGCATGCACGATACAAGGAAATGGTCAGTAACATCATCACTTTGAGGTAGGTGAGTGGGCCGTTTTGCTTGACTCCAAAATAGTTTACTAGGTCAGTAAACGCAAGTCCTAATGCATCATTCATCATTTCAATGTGAATGTTAAAATCTCCGACAATTAGCGCTTTATCAACAGTAACCAATAGGTCTGAGAGGAAATCTGCAAATTCTTTTAGGAAATCTGTATACGGCCCTGGTGGTCTATACACAGTAGCCAGAGCAAGAGATACGATAGATTTCTTTTGCATATCTTGCATAGTAACATTAAGCATTAGTATTTCGAATGAGTTAAACCTGTATCCTGTCTTCTGAGTAACATGAGTAACAT